GCTTCAAAATAATCCGCGTAGATGGGTTGATTCATATTGCTCGGGTGTTTCGATTTTCACAGGATTTAACAATTTTTAGTTCAAATAAAGGTAATGCAAGTCGATCGATAGTTTCTACTGATATCATGCTTGAGTTATGTGAAGCGGATCGAAATATAATTTGGAAAATCGTGTTATTTTCGGGAAGTTTCGATGTCATGGTGTCAACGCTTTCCTACCTTGTGTTATTATATGAGTAGTAGGGGAATTTACCGGCGACTGACTAACTATGCCAATCCCACTTTAGGTCATTTTTTATTATCCAGGAAACGTTCTGAGCGCCTGTGGCTCTGCTATGTAAAAACAACACGAATAATGCTGGTCGCCCGTGTATCTTACAGTATTTTATTTTTTACCATGATATGACTGAAATCAACAACAATCGCAGACCATTAACACCCACATAAACCGGTCGACTACAAGTGAGGCCGAATTCTATCGCCGGCCGAGTTCGAATCTGGCCGAGTTCGAAGGACACCACCTGACACTCCAGCCCAGCTGTTCCAGCCCCCAGTGTAAATCAATAATATGCCCCTCCAAATAATTATAAGTGACTCAAAGAGGGGTATATAAAATTGAAATGGAGGAGGGGTACTGGAGGGGCAGGATTATATAGTTACAGGTGAGGGGGACCTAAGGAACCCAAATGCTTCACCCAAATGCTAATACTTACTAGACGTCCATAAATATCATCGGGATTCTCGTGGAACATGGCATTCAGGATATCTTCTATCTTTTCTGGCACTTGATTTTCACGGTAGAACTTTACGGCTCTCTGCTTCATTTCGTAGATTTCCCGTGCGTTTCTTTCCGAAGATCGACTTGCTGCCATGGCTGCTTATCAGTGGGATTTCGCGAAATTAAACAAATGAGGAGTATGAAAATAGCGCGTGTAGTGGGTATTTGTGAACCGTTATATTTTTTGATTCGTCGAGTGTTGTTGAAAAGTAGTTAACACTGTATGAGCTAAATTTTGATGGTAATAGAGGAAGCCCAACACGACTTTTAAAACTTGGCGGCCATATTGGCTGTTGCTATGTTGCTATTTTCTGATGCATTCTGGGTGAACACAGTTCTAGTAAAACAAAACAGAAAAAAATTCACTCATTATTAAAAAAAGACGGTAAAAGTAGATTTACTGAGAAATGTCATCGGGATATATTTGTTGTTATATGTATATTTTTTGTTTATTATATGTCGGAACCGCAATCAATCTGGTGGATACTTAACCCGGAAGTAAATACCCTTGTTTATAAGCAACCAAGGTTTAGACAATAGTTTCCTACAGGTTTCTATCTGTCACGCTCGTAAGGACGATAGCATGTAGCTGATATTATTCCACCGCATAATCACAGTTTCGCCACGGTACGACCAGCAGATATGTCTGTAGATACATCGCCAACGCCAACTGGCAGCGCGCAACCAACTGCTAGAAGGGGGAATTACAAAGAGAAACGACAAAATGCGGGGAATGTGTTGAGAAAAAACTCAAAGATGGAAACTGACGAGTTTATGGCCGCTGCTATCGGAGATACAGCATGGCTGAAGCAGAGTCTACGAGACGGGCGAGACGCTACAAAGTTCGACAAAAATGTAAAGTATTTAGAATTCTGTTTTTATGTTTTCTGTAATAATAATAATAATATTGACAACATTATTGCTGCAAAAAATAATGGCTGGTATTTTGTATAGCGTCCGCCGACTGTTGTTTTTTTTCGTCCATAATTCAGCGTACCATAGTCGCTAGTGGTTTAAAGTGTATGTATGTGTGTGTAGACATAATTTATAGAATTTGAAGATTCAATTTGCATTATATTAAACTATAATAGTCTGAATATGTTTTATTTTATCAATAATAGTTCTGATGTAAAAAATGAGTAATAATAATATTATTTGAATAGAACATATACACTAAAAGTAAATACAACATTATCACAGGCATATTGATCCATAGTTACCAGGCTAGAATACATCACTATTTAAACAGTGTTTTCCTTTGTTTCCAGGGCCTTGCAGCGATTCATTTAGCAGCATTACACGGTCGTCTGGATACCTTGCAGATGTTAGTTGAGAGATATAACGTGGATGTCAATCTATCTAGCAATACTGGCTGGAGACCGATACATTTAGCAATCAACAATAGAAATGGTAAAAGGGCTTTACAGTGTGTGGAGTATCTTCTGGCAAAAGAAGCTGATCCATCAGTGTAAGAATTATAGTGTTTTGTAGGGTTGCCATTAGTATTTGTATTGGGAGTTATGGATATTTTAAAGTTGCGCTTTGAAGGCATTCATAAAGCTTTATTGGGATCTCATGGCTATTACTGTAAAATACTGTAGAATACTTTATTTTCGCTTGGAATTTATTTTCGCTATTTTCGCTGAAGGGATGATTCCGTGAAAATAAAATCCAGCGAATATACTTTTTTTCCTATATTTCATATTAAACTCATCAAAAC